ACACACACACACACACACGCATGCCTATACGTACACACAGACAAGGTACTCTTTGTTCACATGTACGCCTATGTAAGATATCCTATGTTAATGAACCTATGCATATTCATGTAACCTCAATAAAGAGCAGTGTTACAAGGGAGCAGACGAGAGAGACTGGGGTGAGCTACAGGAACACACTTGTCACAGTTCTCTCCCTCGTGCACGTGTAACACAAAGAACTTTGGTGATTTGCGTCTTCCCTCTGCTTTTGTAGTAGAATTGTCTCGTTCCAGCGAGGGGTTGTGCTAGACAGACCCATCATCCAGCTTCATGCCGACCACAGAGCCCACCTTCCTGATCAGTTTTTCCAGCCTGGATGAGTCCTTCTTTGCTGTGCTGCTCCCCCAGCACACCACAGCATAGAACAGCTCTGGCAACTACCGACTGGTAAAACATCCTAAGGAGCTTCGTGCAGATGTCGAAAGACCTCAGCCTCCTGAGGAAGTACAGTCGGCTTTGGCCTTTTTTATACAGGTGCAGCGTGTTGTATGACCAGTCCAAGTTTGTTGTCCACCCACAGCCCAAGGTACTTGTATGTGTTGACCACCTCCACCTCCTCTCCCTCTATCCGAACTGGCAGTGGACCTAGTCTGAGTCTGGACCTCCCGAAGTCCACAACCAGTTCCTTGGACTCTGAGGTGTTGAGCTGCAGGTGGTTTGAGTGACTCCAAGTGACAAAGTTCCTCGCCAGACTCCTGTACTCCTCTTCCTGGTCATCCCAGATACACCCCGTGATGGCCGTGTCGTCCGCAAACTTCAGAATATGGCATAATTCAGAGTTATAGCAGAAGTCAGAGGTGTACAGGGTAAAGAGAAGAGGGGAAAGCACAGTTCCCTGTGGTGCCCCTGTGCTGCTGACCACAGTGTCAGATGTGATGACCTTCAGCCTGACGTACTGTGGTCTGTCAGTGAGGTAGTCGGAGATCCAAGCGACCAGGCAGGGGTCCGCCTGCATCCTGTTTAGTTTTTCCTGAAGTAGACAGGGCCGGATTGCATTAAAGGCACTCAAAAAGTCAAGAAACAGGATCCTTACCGTGCCTTTTCCCTTTTTCAGGTGTGAGTGGGCTCTCTGCAGGAGGTACAGGATGGGATCCTCCACTCCGACATCTGACATTAGCTGATTCTACGGGGCTAACTGTGCATTGCTGCGATGCCCTGACATATTTAAACAATGTTAGTCTTCACAAATATGTAACATTTATACATATCTTAGACTTCAAACCAAAAGGAAAATGCTCACCTGGTAAATATTATTTGGTGTTTGAAATTAGGTGCATTTCAATCACTGTTATAATAATAATGATAATAGTAACATGAGGAGGGCAAGAGAGTTCCGAAGCATTCTCAAATATATTATTATGATATATGGATGCAATTACAATAACCTAAATAAAATATAAGCAAAGCTTCCTCTTGTTTTTGGTGGAAGATGATTTCTCAGGCGTTTCCAGTTACTGAGGCAGGAATGCATAGCGATGCACTTAACACATATTACCTCAATTCAAACCTGCTGATCCTGTTTCTGGAATCTATCAGAATATGTAAACCCCTCCTTCTTTTGCTCTCTGTCAAAA